TGTTATTATTTATTATTTATTACAAATTTGCTAATTTCTAAACAATAATGTTTATTAAAAGTAGAAATGAATTGTATTTTAATTTCAGCTTCATATTGATTTTTGAAGATTGTTTGAATAATTAATTCCTAGTAAACTGTTTCAAATTTGAATAAATATAGCATAGTACGTTTCCTAGATGTACAAAGCTATAAAAACTATTGTATTGTTCGATGGAATATTGATTAAAGTGTAAAACAAATGAATAATAAATCGACTAAAATGAGAGCTTTTAATCAATCGTCGAACAAGCTTTAATTAGGGAGAAATTATTAATACAAAATAGTAGGTAATTGCTGTCTTTAAGCCTTGCAAATTTATAGTTTTGAATATTAGAAATTCATCATGCTTGGAAATAAATTTCTAATCCATGTTGTCTGTGACTTTAAATAAAAATATAAATAAAATGAATAAAATATATCATTGAAAAGAAAGTTATTTGAAGGCACGGTATAATAATGATGTTATTTTTAGAAGGAAATAAATTCTAAAATTTATACAAAATGGCCCGATTTTTTTGTAATTTTCAGGTTTTCGTATGAATGCGAGTTCGTGGCCAATGTTCCTTACGAAAACCCTAAACGGCGCCCTAATGGCCCCCGCCAACATCTTCCAGAAGGAGCCCCCAAGTCCCAAATGCAATCTATTTCAAGTTGGTCAAAAACTCGAAGCTGTCGATAAGAAAAACCCCCAATTGATATGTTGTGCTACTGTTGGTGCTGTCAAAAATGAACAAATTCATGTCACATTTGACGGTTGGAGAGGGGCTTTCGACTACTGGTGCCGATATGACAGCAGAGACATTTTCCCAGTTGGATGGTGCGCCAAATCGGGTCATCCGATGCAGCCCCCCGGTCAAAAAAATAGCACCGGACATGGCAGATATAAATTCAAGCCGGCTTTGACCGCCCCCATACCGCCCATTACGTCCACGGTGGCGGAATCACCCGAAGCTGATACTTCGGCGCCCCCACCGCCTCCGATAACGATTCAGGTAAAGGTGGCAACCATGCGAAAAATCCTAACCTCAATTTGTGTACTCCCAAGTGGCAAAAAATAAAAAAAATTAACATAGGGTAGCAAACATAAAGATTTTGAATGACATTAATGACACTTTTTGTGTGAATCGGCCTTTAAATTAAAGATGGTGGTTCCGACTAACTAGTTGAGGAGCAGGTAATATGTCGAAAGACCCTTTATTTAGGAAGTTTTTCAGAAAATTTCTTCAATGAATATAGATTATTAAATGGTGATTATAATAATTTGCAAAATGACACTTGTAAGCAAATTTTAGAGAAAAAAAATGCATGCCTATGTATTTCATTACCTTAACAAAATTTTTGTGATTTACTTTTAATTTTATTAACAAATAGTTAGTTTCTTCCGTTTTTTATATTTATTTTTGTTACTTCTAAACAAAGCAAAAAACCCAAAGTGGTAAATTTAATGCCATAATAATAATAATTAATATTATACAGTTTGTCCCAGGATTTTTTTTATTTTACGCTAACACTGCAAAAGAAAAACATTTTTTGCTTCATCTGAAACCAGTAAGTCTGTAATTTTAAAAGTTCATTATTTTCACTCAGCGTAAAGAAAATTTAATTTTTCTCTTGATTTTAAGCTTGTAATAACTAATAACACTATAGTCTACCAACAATAACATGTTTAATATACCTTTAATCGAATTATTATTTTTATGTTAACTTACCTTTAATTAAACAAAAATAATTGTTAAATTTTTCTATCACGTCACACTTTTTTTGTTACAGACGATAATTTTCCTGTTTTCTGCACAAATGACTGCGATTTAAAATTTATTTAAATTCAAATTGTTGCTGAATTATTCAAAATTATTACCATATGAGTCTAAATAGGTCTTGAAAACATTTCATTCGCATTTGGACTTCTTTTTTAAAAATTTAGGGAGCATGAGTGACAAACATGAGCGTTTTCATCAAGATCTGAAGATTTTTCAAAGATCGATTCAAAGGTTTTTGGGATGAAAATATATTAATAGATTACTGTTGGATTGTTATAAAGAAAATTGATCGAAAAAGTATAATAAAACCAAGTAAAATAACTCACTTTTAATGTTTTTTAGCGATTTTTGTATTTTTGTTAATTACATATTTCTTAAACGTAACGTGGTGGACTTTTTTAAATAGTTTTTTTTTTTGAACTCAGTGCCTCAAAATCTACAAGAAATTAACTTTCAGCTAAGGTATAAAAATCGTGTAAAGTAGTGTAATTTTTTCTCTGCGTTTTAAATCCCATCACATTGACGTTTTAATTTTTTTGGCAACGATGCGTTTTAACAAATGAGTTAACGCAATTTAAATAACAAAAATGTTTGTAAAAACATGGCAAGTCAAAAAAAAGCTTCTAAAAAACAGTCATTTTTAACAAAAACAATCATTATTCAATTAATTAATTAATTGTTAAAGTGACACCGTTGTTAAAAAAATAAAATCGCCAATGTGATGAGACTTGAAAAGCAAAGAAAGATTAATATTACAAGTCCAAAAGTAAGAAAAAAAAAAAACATTTCTTTCCACTCAGTCAGAATAATGAAGTGTTAATTACAGATTTGCTCGTTTCAGATAAAGCAAAAACAACCCTTGCTGTTAAAGTGTTACTTTATCTACTCAAAACAGTTTTTGAAGAAATAGTTTAACATCTGCTATAGAAAAAAAAGTATTTCCTTTGCTTTTTTGGCGTAAAATCAAAGGTAAAAATTTGTTTCTTTTTGACTGGCTATTATAAAATGTATTATTAAGTTCAGAATTTTGATTATAAAGAAATAACTTGATAGAAATTGGCAAAAATCACAGTTTATTAAAAAATTCTGGCATTTAAAACTAGTCCTACAATCTTGATTTTTGAAAGTTGTAGATAAAAAACCTTAAAAGTCAAGTCAAGCTAAAAATGTTTTTCCTTTGCAGTTTTGGCGTAAAATCAAAGGTGAAAATTTTTTTCCTCTTGTAAACCCAATCCGGGAACATACTGTATTCTTGCAAAATACATTTCTTAAATAAATTTATGAATTTGAGCAAGCTTGTTTATTATAATCACAATTTAATGTATGCTCATTGAAGTAATTTTGACAAAAAGACATTTTTCTAGTCCGAACCAACTTCCTTCCTGAATAAGAGTTTTTCGACAGTGAATAGTTTTTTCCCCTACAACCTACTTGATGCAAAAAAGTATAAAACAATTGGGTGCTTTTTAGATGCGAAAAAGCTGCATAGGGGGCCCCCTGATCGACGCTTCCCAACTCCCGCCAACAATCGAAGAAACGACACCAAAAGCCCTAGCTAAGAGTCTAATAGGCAAAATTCTCTCCGTTTCGCATAAATCTGAGACGATTTTAGCCCGACTGGGGGCTCTACGAGGCGAAGAAATGGTTATCACCCATCAAAGCACCACTTACACGATCAAATTACCCCAATTATCAAAAGCTACCGACTTGGAGAATGTCTTCACTGCACTAGCGTCAGCATTGGGGTGTTGCCATAACCTCTTCTGTAATAAATCTCAATGAAAAAAAAAAAAAATTAACAGTCTTGATGATTATTTCTTGTAGCATTAGACGGTATGAAGAAAGAATGTTCCTCCTGTGATGTGAAACCGTCGCCTCCGAAACGCAAACCGCCCCCCGAGCAAGAAGCAGCGACCTCTACAACCCCCGGTGACACCTCGGCCTCCGAGTCGCCCCTCACTAGTCTCAATAAAATCCCCACGCAGGAATGGGGCATTGAAGAAGTGATACAGTTTATAGAGTCTGCAGATTCGTGTCTAGGAGTCCACGCCGACTTGTTTCGCAAACATGTAATTCATTTGTTTTTTTTAATTTTGACGTTTGAGTGACATTTGAGTTGTAGGAAATTGACGGGAAGGCGTTGTTACTCCTCAATTCGGACATGATGATGAAATATATGGGTCTGAAGTTGGGACCGGCACTGAAAATATGTAATTTGGTCTCGAGGCTTAAGGGGAGAAGGTACAATTCGCTTTAAGGAAGATAAGAAAGTCTATTTTTCCGTACTGGGATGCAAATATTGTATCATTGTTATGTACCTCCCTTAATAGTTATATTTTTCATCAGAAAACATTTTTTTTCCTAATGTTTGTGATACGTTCAAGTCTCGTTTTATCAGCAATACAATTGTATCGTAAATTGTAGGTCTAGTGACTCGATTGTTTTTTTGATTATTCCAAATTCCGCATTTTCCAGTATTTCGTTAGGAGCTTTTTTGTAGAAGTAAATAAAAGTATTTAATTTTCTATCTTGATTTCATTTTGAAAAAATGAAATGTCAGTCTCAAAGGACACGCATTTAGCTTATTTTGTAGTGGATGTTTGGCATGGGACACTGTTGTTTGTTTCAAGCATTTCTTACCGATTAGTTTAAGTGTTGAGATTGTTTAAATTTAATTCTGTAACAGTGAGTTAATAAAGAGGAATATCAAACAATTTAGTCCCAAACTTTTGCTTTAATAAAAAAATAAAATAATCAGTAGCCAACGAGCTAACATTACAATGTATTTCGGTTGCAATGTGAACGTGTTCGAGGACTCTATTTGGCCCTTAACATATTTTTTTATTCTTTTTACGATTTTTAACAAAACACGCAAATAATGGTCATCAATTTCCCGCTTTTGGTACAGTTTCTCCCACAAAATACCCGCCAGGACCTCATCTTCGTTATGTAGGGCTTGATCATAATCCTGCAAGGTGCTGCGCACCTTTATGAACAACTCATCAACGTCCACTTTCACAAAATCAGGATTTTCTGATTTTAAATCTGCCAGACGTTGGGACACGTCTTTTCTTAAAACTTCCACCATGTGCTCCCTTAAAACAGCCCCCTCAGCACTCACCCGAGCTGTGTACATCCACAAGCACCACAAATCGGGCCTGGAAAGTGTCTTCAACGTCCAAATCGTCAAAAAACGATTCATAATTTATGTCATTCATCAGCCCCTTGTACAAGACAAAACCTGCAATTTTAGAACGCTAAAACACATTTTTGGGGTTGTGGTAGCAAACACACAGCTGAATTCATCAATGACAGGGGGCTCACATGTTCGATGCTAAGTTTGGCGTTAAATAAAGGTGATTTGTTTCATGGACGCTCTCTTGACTTTCTTTTGCCTCGTTGAGTGTGCTTGAAGGCGCAAAAAGGGCCCTCTGAAGCCCTACAACCCAATGCAATCTCGTCACCCCCAAAATGCAAACTTACCCTTCTAATCAACCCGTGAAGGGGGAGCAATAACACAGGCGTTGCCATTTTATCTAAATACCGATGTTTTATCGAAAATCATGATAAAACATCGGTATTTAGATAAAGTTTTACGGAAAAGTGAGGTTAGGTCGACTTTATCGCCATCTCTTGGCCATTGAGGATTTGCAAGAGCAGAAGATCTGGCAAAGGTGTGTGAAAATCGCCCCAAAATAGGAAAAAACAGCCCCCGTTTTTACGTAAGTAGTTAAAATAGTTAAATTGAGGTTATTTCTGAGACTTGGACTTGGAATCGTTTGGGGCGAGTGGAGCGATGAAGGGAAATATGAGGGAGAGACTGTCACTACTTTGACCTTTATATTGGGCCCCAAAAAACCCACAGAGACATGGAATTGGCCAAATGGGTACTATTTCACAGTCGGGAAGCTTAGTCTAATGTGTTTGTGGCACACTATGTCTGAGGGGTCCAATTGAGACTGTGCCCCCTGATTGTCATTTTGGACCCTTGGGGTTTCCTAACTCCAGTCACGTTTTAATCCTAGTAACATTTATTGTTGTGTTGTAACTGAAACATTTGCGACAAACTTGAGAGTGCCCCCTTGGTGGGGTCACGCAATAACACACAACATTCAAAAACAATCATTCAAGTTTGAAATAACATAATAACACTATAAGAGTTTCAAGTCTGTATACACTTGTCAAAAAAATTCAACAATTTGGTTGTAAATCAAGTTGATTTGCCTATAGAGTGCCCCAAATGTGTGTGTAGTTGTGGGGGTTGTAATTAGGTTATAACAATTATATAATCGCTGCTTTCTCTTAATAGAATGACAGGAAGGAGCAAAATTAAGTCGAGGAAGCCTCTAGAGACGGCTTTGGGGAGGGCCCCCAAAGACAGTGAGAAGGGGGCCGACTTGTCACACCTACGTAAACCGATCGAGACTAGTGTTTTTGGGATGAAACAAGTCTTGTCTTTGTTTCAAACAGCCACGTCTGAAGTAAATCTTTCGATTTATTTGGGGGCAAATTAATAAAAAAGTCTTTTAGGTCAAAGAATATATTACTTATGAATGCGACGTTCTGTATGAGTGTCGAATATGTCGAACTATTTTCCGAAGTTTGGCAAACTTTATTTTACACAAGAGAGAATACTGTCGTGAAAAGTTTTCAGTAGGGGGTGGCAGCAACCAGGTATCTTATATACAGCGTGTTTGTTTTTCATTTTATTCCATGTTTATACAGGGTGGCGGTTTTGTTGTTAGTGAAACGCCCCCAAATGAGGGATGTGCTACACCAGAGGAAAAAGATTCGAAGAAGACGATTTTACCAATCATTGATAAGCTTCTGAAAAGACAAAAAATCCGGCTTTTGGCCAAAGAAACTCTCAGTGAGGATTTGTCAAAAGCTGAAAATTCAGACGACGATGATGTTATTTTCGTTTCGGAGGAAAATAACCTCGTTTTGGAAAAAATAGACACTTCGAAGGCCGCTGTTTTCCAGACTGCTGTCAAGAAGGAGGAAACTGGGGGATTGATGAAATCTGAAGTGGGTTTGTTTGAATTACGCGCCAAATCACCTGACTGTCACTTGATTTTTGTTTTTGAAAGTTTGCAAGCCTTTTATGTTATAAATCAATCTAACCTATTTGACAGGTTTATTTTATTGGTAAAAACAATTGATTCTGTGATGGTTGCCTAAGAAATAATCACAACGGGATTTTTAGTTGAAAAATATTTATTTCTTTTTTTAGGCCTAAATTAACGTCTGTTTTTTGTAACTATTGAATTGGTATAACAACTTATAAGTATTTCAAATTTTTAAAATTACCAAAGTGGTCTATGCTTTTAGACGTTAGTAACGTTGAATAATGTAGACAGAAGATGGTATGTTTGTCAATGTTGCCAACTTGATTTCAAAGTCACAGGCCACTTTGATTAGAATTTCTATTCTGCAAAATATTAGCACCGAATCCAAGTTTTTTTTTTTTATTAAATGTGTTGATCTGTAGTAACATATTTTATTGATACTCTAAATACCATTTGCTGGTGTGTTTTTCTTATTCGTGGAAAAACTAAAAATTCGCCTGTTGACAGTTGAATTTCCCGCTGTATTTTGAAGTCGGCATTCAATTTTGGTACCAGAAACATGAAAAAAATGTTTGAAAAATTCTATCTGTCAAAAAATTTTGACATTTATTTTTTGACGCGAGTTCTGGCGCACCCTGTATAGGGATGCCAAAAGAAATCATCTCTGGAGTTAAAGCATCACTTTAGTGCAAACTTTTTCTAGTCATTTTTAAAATAATTATTCCTAATTTTTTTTTAATTTACCTCTGTTGTAGATCTAAAATAGAACTTCGATTAAAATTTAATTTGGCAACATTGGATAAAATGGATTTCCCAACCAAATGCAAACCTGAATGTCACTAGGTGGTTACTAGTTAGTAATTGTCAAACTGTTGTTTTATCAGTTTGACATTTTTCGATTTGAAAGTTTAGGGGTGAATCATTTTAAATTAAATATTATTTATTTTTTTAAGTAATTAAAATATTCATCTTCGACAGTTTTGTTACCAAATAATATCTTTAGTGATTTGCACACTGTTCAGTTTTTATTTCCAGTCGATTTATACAGGGTGTTCGTTTTTCGAGCTCCAAGATGGGATCTCAGTTATTATAATAAGAGATATGAGGTCGGTTAAATTAGGGCAAAGTTGCGAATTTTTATGCTGAACAATAATCTAAAAGAAAATTTTAAGTGTCAATATTAGTTTTTGAATTATTGGAAAAAAAACATTTAGCTAAATTAAAGAAAAATTAATCTTGAGCGGGAAAATACAATTTAAATGAACTTTATAGATATGAGACAATTCAAATTTATCTCTTTTGTCTATATTATTGACCGTTGCCAACTTAATTTTTAGAACCATAGCTCACTTTGATCGGAAATGTGTTTAAAGACACTTTATGTATATTTTTTTCTTAAAATGAGTTCTCCATCAAAATGCCAAAGTTTTATGTGTCACCCTGTGTAGGTTTTTTATACACTGGCGGACACGGAATTTTGGACATTCAGTTCAAAAAATGTCAATGTAAGTCACGCTTTATTGTCATTATGATTGACGTTTGAAACTAAAATTTGAAAGTTTTAGTTGTTTAGTGTCGATTTTCCGAAACAATAATGCCAGCAATACGTGTTTTTATATAAATTCAATAAATTATTTTGATTTGTGTAATTTTTTCTCTAGCTATGAGGATAAAAATTACAAAARCCGAAAGTGAGGTTAGTTGCCTAAGGCCCGTTTTACATTTTTATGTCACTCGAATGACAAATGGTCCAAAATTCCGTGTCCGACAAATCGTTTGAAAATAGCACAAATTGCTTCATTTTAGTCTAAAATTGGGATTGAAGCAATTATTTTTATAAAGTACATTGATTTAGAATGATTCGAGAACTAAAATTAAGCAAAATTGTATTGGAAGTACTGCTTTATTTGGAAGAAATCTGTCATTTGAGTATTTATTTTGTTGAAAAACTTTGATTCGTGTTGATTTTCGGATTAAAATTGAGTCAAATTGATTGAAAATAGCACAAATTGCTTCATTTTGGCCTAAAATTGGACTTTATGCAACTATTTTTATAAAATACTTTGATTTAGAATGAATTCTGTATTAAAATCGAGCAAAATTGGATTAAATCGTGGACAAGTGACAAGCAATATGACCAACAACCTCATATATGCATAATTTAAATGATAGTTGACAGAAAACGTCAACTGACAACAACAAGGGGTTACCAACCTTATGCATACAAAATTACTTCTGAAAATTCTAGTTACAAACAACATGAAAAACGTAATTTTCCTAAAAATTCAAATTCTAAAACTAGGTATATTAAACTATGTACTTAATTGTCACGTTATGCGAGTATTTTCAGCAATTTCCTCCGGAAAATTTCATTTAATATCATTTTAAAGAAATCCCTTGGTGCTTTTAATGTGTTTGTTCGCAAACAAAGAAATATTTCAGTATTTCGTTTTCTACCTTTGGTATCAGATCGGTTTATTATTTATGAGAGGTATATGCATTGCGGTTTTTCACATTTACTAGACTTTTAAATGTTCCGTTTAAATGTTTCATTCCAAAAGTGACATACCATATATTAGAATGAAGGTGAGTTTTTGTTAAAATTGGTGATTAAATCGATCGGAAAATTTGTATTTATGACCAATTTTCGGGCTCAAATTAGTCTTTTACGAAGTTTGCGTGTTGATAATGGGGTGCAAATTGCATTTCCACGTGTCAAATAAAGACAGCAATGAGGTTTCAACACTGTGGTAGTCACTGTTTCTATTAAACTGTTAAAATTTAAAAATAATTAATTATGTACAGGGTGTGCCAGAGCTCCGTATTTCTTAGATTACTTTAACAGTAAAGAAGATAACGAAATGCGGTTTTTTTGGACCATAGACATTCATTTTTTCTATGGTCCAAAAATATTTTTGGCATTGTAGGTAATTCCTATATAGGGTGGCGCAACAAAGTTATATTTTTTCTTATGGAACACCCGGTATATTATGCGCTTATTTGAAAGAGTTTTTAATTCTAAGAATATCCATATTATGGGTCTATCATTTATTGGCAATTTTATGAAAAAAAAAATACCATTCTTGAAAAATCACATCGGCTTCGCTAGAAAGAAAAAGTGAATAAAAACAATTGCAACTATTTTTACTAAGTCTGGTCCTAAATTATTATGGTAGAAATTCAATCAATGTTTTGCAGAGTATTGAGATTCGCAAAAATCAATTTTAAATTATTCTATTTAGCGTTAAAAAAAGTAAACCAGATATACTCAAAAACGAATAACGTTTCATTACTATAATAACATTTTAAAAACTTTTTCCACAGTAAAATAAATATCATTGTAACCCTTTTGAATTCGAGATAACTAAACTTAATTATAATTTAATAAACCCTGATACCAAAAGTGCTAACAATAAATTATGCTTTTAAAATAAAGAAAAATATCCGTCCCAGTACAATATTCTATAACTAAATACATTTTTTTCAAACTAAATTAATAAA